TTCTTTTTCTTTTTCTTTTTCTTTTTCTTTTTCTTTTTCTTTTTCTTTTTTCTTTCCCTCCTTTCCTGGGCTGCTTCTGCCTCCCAGGCACCTTCTATAGTGGAGCCAGGGCGGAGCCCTTTGTGACATCACAGCTTTCTCAGCCACCATCACCAGCGAGGTCACAGTGCCCGCACTCGATGCATCACAAAGGGCTGCTCTAGCGGAAGGTGCCCCTGCCCATGGCAGGTGGTGCAACTGGATGTTCTTCAGGTCCTCCCATCCCAAAACATTCTGTGATTCTGTGCTATTCCCCAAAATATTAATTATTGTTTATGAGTAAGGGATGGAGAATGGGTGCAAAAAGATCTCTGCCAGCAAAAGGATTGTAAATAAAACATTGCCTGTGGATGCACATAGATAAATATGCTTATAGATAAATATACATCCCCACATGCAGTCACCTGTTTCTTCCTTTAGCCCTTCTGTTACAGAACTCCCCGGCTGTAGTCCATTGCCATGCTGAATCCAAGAACTGCAATATTCAACTATTTTTATGTGTGTGATGAAAGCTGTAGGAACTTTTCTTTGAACACTTGCTTTATAAAACACTCCTGATACAGCTGTTGTGCTTTTATAACTAAAATGTAATTATGACATTAGAGGCATTGAAGGAATGTGTAAAATATAAAATCTTGAGTCACTTTCACTGGACTATCCTGTACTGCCAGCACTAGGAAAAATCTGTTGTGTTATGGCACAGTGTGTGATTTTCTGCCCAAACAATCCAAGTATGAAGGTAAAACTTTAGATGTTTCCTGGGAACTTCACAGTCTGGTATCTGAAAAATTCTGTCCTACTGATTTCCTGAACATTTAACAGTAAACCAGTAAAAATTGGAGTATTTTTGGAATATGCCAATTATGTTCTATAGCTGTAATCATTCTTTGAAACAAATGCCCAGGTATACATCTGCTGCTTTTAAATATCACAAAATATACATCCAAACAGAGCCATTTAAAAACACAGTAAAAGCTATAACATCTTGATATAGTTTGAAGCTGGCTCCCTGCCAAGTCTCCAAACCTTACCACAAGAAGTACCCCCCAAACCTCAGGGAGAAGAGGGAAAAAAAACCCAAGAGAACCGAAATGAGCGAGAGAGGCAGCTAAAGCAATATATATAAATATATTTACACTTATATTACAGTTACATACAATTGAAAGATATATACAATTTCAAAAGGAAAAGGGAAAGGGATGGGGGAATGGAAAAAGGAACACAAACAAAATAAAATATGGACGATCAATAGCCCAAGATCTAGCAACTAAAAGAATTAGCAAAAGAATATCTTACTGCTCTCCTTGGGACAACGGAGAGTCACGCTGGAACGACCGCTGGCAACCGCTGTCTCCCAAGGTCGGCAAGGCCTTACCAGGCCTCACTCCCCAGACACGACAGACTTAACAGCAAGGAACCTGCACCTCCAAAGCCACTGGAAGGAAAGAGCGGGAAGACCTCTCCTATTTTCTTCTTATACCCCAGCTTACGTAAAAATCGTAGGGAATACTGGGTAAATCTGGGCCCTTCCTTCATTACAAACTGGTCACCAAGGAAGGCATAGACTAAACTACCACACATCGGTAGACCAGTGAGATACAGTAGGTATATTGAAGCAGATGTTTGTAATGTTTTGCCTAAAGCTGGAGAATAGCCCATCTACAGAAATATGATTCAATGTATTTTTAACTGATTTATACTTCATTAAAAGCAAGTCTTTTCCCCAAGAGATGTAAACTTCACAGTACTCTTAGAAACAAACATCTTTAAAAGATTATGTTCTTCCAAACCTGTACTTTCATGTCTAAGAAAGATGTATTAAGACAAAAATTACATTGAAATATTTAAACGTATTTAAACAGAATCACATATTTCTGCTGCCTGGGTGTTTTTTTGTTTGTTTGTTTGTTAGTTTGTTTTTGTTTTTGTTTTTTTGTGCATATGTGTTTGTTTGTTTGTGGGTTTTTTTTGTTTTGTTGGTTTTTTTTAAATTAGCATCTGGACAGATTCCTTCATCCTGGAGCTGGTGGCAGTTGCTCATGGAAGGGCTGATCTTGCGAACATCTGGGCCGGATCAAATAGCATCACCAAGAAATCAAAAAAAGTGTTCTAATAGCTGTTTTCTTTACAGGTAATACTTCATTAGGTGATCGTAGGATGGGGTCTGTGGGAAGACATTACCATAGCTGTAATTCCAGGATGCATTTAGTAGTGGAGATTACATTAGCCTTGCAATGAAGTTCCATACAGGTCAAACATAAATACCCACAAACTCCTGGTTCTAGGAAATGGAAAGAAGATAAAGTGCTACAAATGATGGATCTTTATTTCTCCAGGTTCTTTTAAAGTGCCAGTGTATAATTACTTTACAAGACAAGGATTAAAACCAGATTCTGTTCCTGATGATTTTTTTATCTGCCAAAGAATTATGCCTGTTTTTTCTTCCTCTGTTTGCATAGATTATTTCCAGAGAAAACTTGTCTACTATCAACTACCCTAGAGGCATAAGAAATGCATGAGTGTAACTGTATTCCAAATAGCAAGGCTGTTTTTGGTTTGGGTTTGTTTTTGGTTTGGGTTTGTGTTTTTTTTTTTACAGAAGATGATAGTTTAGGGCTGTATACACGTTTTTTCTGTGGTTTTGCTGAAGGTTGTAGAATATGGTCTGATTTCCCCAGGTCATCAGGATTTATAAAACGAAGGTTTCCCATTCTTTCCAACATCCCAACCTGCAAGACAAGTATGCAATTTTCCTTTTTTATTAAATATACTGGGTTTATTTATAGGAAATCAGAGGAAAATTGTATACTGGTTAATGTCAGCTAGGTATTGTTGAAGTACTCTAAGGCTGATCAGGAAGGCTACTTTTCTTGGGAAAATTCTGGCTATCAAAAGCAAACACATGAGCACCAAAGTACTTTTTTCTCAATTCAGCAATCTAGAATTTAACACTTTGTATATTTTTTGGCTGCAAAGTGGCCTAGCACTATTAATTACTTCAGTAATTTTTCTTAGAGAAATGTGTATTTTATTTTTGAGGATATAAGATATGTTCTATGCCAAAATTTCATTTGGGTGAAAATTATATTTTAATTAGAGGAAAATATTTTTTTTCCCTGAAAAGAACTGGAGTTAGATTCAGGAAATTTAGAAATTGAAGAGTAATAAGAAGAATACAGTAAGTTACTGTATGCCAAGTTCACTTGTTCACTTGCTTGACTTTTTAATAAAATAAAGGAAATAAATGTAAGGACTGTTAAAAGGTTTTAGTTTTGTAGTAGTTATTTTTCTATAATATAGATTTTAAAAAATCAGCTTTAGTCATACCTAATAAGGTTTTAGAGTGACCAGAAGAGGATTTTATTGAATATACCAAAAAAAAGTTTTCAGAGTGAATACTTCAGGCATGATAGATAGTACAGAAAGACCTGAATGCTGAGACTGAAATTTATTCTTTCCCAGAGCAGTGAAGGATGTACAGATCAGATTTATTTGGTTGCTAAAGGAAGTTGTTTACTCCATGAATAAACACTCCTTTCAGACCAGCCAAATCCAGTGAAATTACAAGAAAATGCACATGCTGCATTTTGGTGCCTCTTTTTTCCTTTTTTTTTTTTTTTTTTATTTTTTCTCTCCACTTTTTGAAGAGGTGAAGGTTAATTTTTGTATCTGGTTTAGATTGGTTTCTTTTATATTAAGGTTTAGGATGTCTGTCCCTCCCTAGGGATACACATTCAATACAGATATGAGTGACATCATCCATTCTTGTTAGATACCCATTATCCATATCCATTAAAAGTGTGTTGTTCCTGCTATATATTGCTTAATTACTGTATTTCACCAAGACCCTTTGGAACAAACCAAGGGCTCATGCTAAAACAGTGAGGCTAATAAATCGTTTGAGACATTGTTGATATTCCTCCCAGATTACATGGAATCCTCTCAAGCTTTTATGAAATAATGGGAAAATTTGATGACTAGTATCACTGGTCTCTTTACAGCAGAGAATTCTGTTACAGTTTGAAGATGAGGTGCTGCTAGTGCTCAGCTGGGTTGAAGAATCAGGTGAATAGAAATTGTAGCATGGCTGTGTGCCGGGTTAACCTTGCTGAAGTGCATGTTGTTTCCTTTCAGCCTGAAACAAAAAGTTTAATTTTCATTTCACAAATCCTGAATGGAATTGAAGTAGTCAAAATGAATTGTGAGAAGAGTTTGCAAAATGAAGAGGCTGCAGCAGGTCAGTGTTTTTTAATTGAGTATTATAGCCACTGACACTCAAATAGGAATTTGTTCAATAACCTGTTCTGTTTGTGCTGATTTGAACCCTGATGCCTATTTTCCTGGAGAACTTTCAGGATAAAAGGCTTTTTAAAGTATAATTTTGTCATTTGAAGCCAATTCACATTGAACAAAACACTGAGAAATCATTACAATAAAAACCTCTCAGTCTGCCCCTCCAAAAAGTGCTCTAATCACCCAGTTTGTGAACTATGTCCCTGTCTCTCCCTGCTCCCAGACAAATAAACTGCATAATTTTTCTGGATTCTATAGAAATATGGTGCTTTTGACTGATTTTCACCTGAACTTTTCACTGATTAAAACCAATGAAAGCCTCATGCAGCAACAGGTGTTTGTATGAACTTGATTGAAAATTGGGGTCCAAGACAACACTGGTTGATTGAAACTGTTCTTTGCACAGGTGCCAACAAAAATAAAGTAATGAAATGGAAAAATATATGAAAAATGTGAAAGATATTAGTTGGAATTGCAACTTATGCCAAACAATGGTGAATGATGGGGAAGGGAATCTGAGTTACAGGTTGAGACCAAAGACAAGGCAAGATTGAACTAAATACCACAAGGAAGTAAGTTGAAGAAACGGAACTGATCTAAAATATCATTTCCCTGTATACATCCATACATCTGTATATGCATCTCAATTGGTGTTTAAAAAGCAAGAACGACCAAGAGTACTCACAGTTCTCTTAAGGGAGAGAGACTTTCACAAAATATGAGAAATTTCAATTAAATTAATCACCAGTTAATAAGTACTGTCTAGAAGGTAGCACTGCCTCCATCTCCATATATCTTGAAATCCATTAAACAAACAGAGATCCTCTATTCAGATAATTTAATAATGCGATAAAACCCATAAAATCCATAGAAAACTGTAGAAATGAAGCTCAAATTAGATTTCCTAGAGGTCTATCCCCACTTTGCCCAAGAAAAAAAGCGTGAAAAACCTCCATGGCTTAAAGCAGAGAATACAATCCCTCCCTGAATCAACCATCAGGAACTGGTTTTAACCTTACATACCAACCAAAATCATAATGTGGAGTACTAGAAGAAACTGAAAAATGAGGAAATAATGTATTTGTATTTCAGAGTTTTTTTTGAGAGAGGTCCCAAAGACATTGATGAAATTCGTAGTGGTGAAAAATTACCTGTCAAGCACATATTTTATGTGGGTTTAGCCAGTGACTATGAAAACTTCCAGTTTGTCTGTAAATGAGTCACTGCTTTCAACAACGTTTCTTGACAGCCAAAGAGTTGACTGTTTTAGTTGTCAGCAGACAGAATCCTTATCAAATTCACTCAATAAACACACACAGATTTTAATGTGAGAGAAATCACATTATATCTTGTGGACTAATGCCCAGTGAAATGTCAGAGTACAGTACAGGTGTTGCTCTAAAGAGAAATTAAAATCAGAATTAC